CCCCCCACTCCTTTTTTTTTTTTTTTTTCTTTTCTTTCTGTCTTTGAATCTTGGTGCCTTTCCCCGCGCCGCAGAACTGGGGATGTGCCCATCGCCGTGCCGCTGCCGGGGTTAGAAGCCTTCTCCCCGGCAGTGCCATCGGCACGCCTCCATCGCCCGCGGCCCTCCGAGAGGGTTTTGTTTCTGGTGAAATCTGGCCCTGGTCTTCGTCTCCCCATTCTGGGCTTCCCTCTGTGAACACCCCGCGGCTGGTCTCAGTGTTTCAGGACACGGAGAGTATGTGGGGGTCTGCACAACTGGCCCCCCTAACGTGGCTATCGTCGTGGCGAATGGTCTAAATGAAGGGCTTGTTGCATTTTTCTCTAATTTGCCATTGGTTGGCATATAGAAAGGTGATTAGACTAGGAAAAATAGACAGTTGTGTTGACTGATGTGGTGAGGTGTCCGGGGTCCAACTTGTAACTCGCCATTGGCACAAGGCTGAGTGTGGAGAAGACTGATGCTACAGCTGCTAGGATGTCCTGATCCTGAGCTCAGTTTGGGTTACAGATGTGAAACACATTTTACGCACCAGTGCCTGCTTGCATGTTTTTGCTCCTCTGACCAAAAAGTTACCTGGCTCTGTCAGGAACATTGACATAGGAATGTTGACATCTTGCTAAGCAAGGAGAAGACTCATGCCATTCGCCAAATCTGTCCATGCGTAAAGCAGGTTTGTGGTCTTTCTGGCAGCAGCAGATCTTCACTGTATTAAACTCTCCTAAAAATGTGAAAGAATAGCTTTCGTGGCATAAAGGCAGGGAAATTTTTCCTGCTGGTTTCTTGATTCTTGGAATGCACGGTAGACAGCTAGGAAGTGTGACTTTGTGTCTGCTGTTTAATAGCTCTCCCTTAGCTTTTGTTTATCTAAGGGTTTGGAGAAGGACAGCCGCCAGCCATAGGCATCTGGAAGAACTGTTTCACTGTTCTGAGACTAACAAGTTCTGTCATTCCTTCCTCCCCCACCTTCCAGAATGTGAGATTTGACATAAACTCTAGAGTCTTTCATGGTGGACAAATGTAAAGGAATTGGGCGCTGATCTGCTGGGTGCTCAGCCCGCTGCATTCCAGCTTTTGCAGGATGTGAGCTCTTTTGCCTGAGCCGCTGAAGGCAGTACAGGGTGCTGACACAGGACAGCAGGTTTGTGTTAAATTCCTGCTCCAAGACCGAGTTGTCGTTTTAGCCCCACTGCTTGAAAGAAATTCCAACTTGCAAGACTTGTAATGGTGTTTGGACCTTAATATCCCTAACAGCATTTCTTTTCTTTTCCATAATGGAATCAAAACGGAAAATGAAGGTATGTTAATAGGCTCTCTCATGGTCTCTTGGGAAAATACTTTACTTTGTGACAGATTGTGAAGTTTGTATTCACATAGTTACGCTTTGTTGGGAGGCAAAAGATACAGTTGTTACTGAGATGGAGAAGTACTCAGCAGGGCTAAATGCAAAGTGAAGTTAGGTGAAGTAGCACATGTGTTACACAGCAGACTCTTTACAAACCTTTAGGTAACTATTAGACACGTTAAATAAGAAGGCCCTTGTTTGTTTAAAGAATAGCTCCCCAAACCAAAATTTCAAGACTGTGCTGTTATTCAAGTCTTGTCAAGAAAAGGCATAAACAAAGTTGGTCCAAGTTGGTTTTAGTTGTTGCTTTGATGACTAAACTGAGTTGTGCAAAATGTGGCATCAGTCTGTTCCTTTGTTCTTGATTTCTAACTCTGATGTAAAAGTGAATGTCTGTGGTTGGGTTATGGATTTGAAAACGTCGTCACATGTCAATACTCAATACTGAGTTTGAGAAGACTCCTGTGGTGCCACCTTCTCCCTCCTTCTCTGAAACTCGACCTTTGCGGAGTCCTTTGTCCTATATTGTCAGTTATTGCTGTTGGTTTTGGAAACAGCTCTCTGCCAGGAGAAGTTATTATGTGTTTTCAAACCAGGTCTTGCTTAGGACTTGATTTATAGAGCAATGTTGCATTTTTGCGTAGAGTGGTTTCCAGTGATAAATGCCGACCGAGTTGAACAGGGCGGGATGTGTAGGATGAGAACTTCTGTGCAGTAAAGCTTAGTGGTGGTACTGGTTTGGTGGCCAGAGCTCAGGCACCAGAAATTCTCAACTTTGTGGAAACACATCTGTGTTCAGCCAGGCTTGAGTGTGGTGATACAAAGAGCATTTCATTACCTGTAAGAATTTGAGGCTACTACTTCTACTTAACATGGATTTTTTTTTTCCCTCTGGCATAGGGAAAAGTATAATAGCATTTGTCAGAGCACTGGTGTTGAGCAAGACTTGCTGTATTTTGGTTTGATGCCATCTTAAGTGTCAAGGAAGGCTGGCCAATATGCTCTCTCAGTAAGCAGTGTCTGAAGTTTTGCACTTTAGGAAACATCCAATCCTGAAACTCAAGGCAACTGACAAGCAAGTGAGGATTTGGCTGTAAATAAGTGTGTATGTTTTTTTCTAGATTTTTCAAACTTGTAAACATAGCTACAATAAATCAGCTTTCCTAAGGAACCTCTAAAATAATTGTTAACTTCTTGCCAGTGCATGACAAGCTTGAGCATGGTTAAATGTGAGAACTACTGAGAACAGAGACAAGTTTGCAGATAAGGAGAACCTGGTTAGGTATTGATAACACTGAGGATGTAGCTCAGAGGCAGTCCTCACTCTTTTTAGTTTGTGTGGATTAAGAGATACCTTTGCATCTAAATAATGCAAGACGCAGTCAGCAACATGTGCCCATCACGTTTGGAAATGGGAGAGAAGGTGACACCTCTGTGTGATCATTGCACTGGTGATTCTGGTGTGGTGCACAGGTGGCTTTTGCAATCCAGCACATTTTGATTCTGCTTGTGTCGCTAATCTCAAGCAGGCACAAGGATTTAAGGGCCTCACTCTTTGCCGAACTGGGAAACGAGTATAGTGCTATGGTAATAAATGCCCTGCAAATTGCTTAGGGAGTGTGCACCTTTCGCGAGTTGTGGCATCTACAGATTGAGCTGGGACTGAAAATGGCAGTTAGCGGCCAGAACTGGAAGTGTGACCGGTTATGTTAACTTCCAAATTCTGCTTTCCTAAATATAAAGTTTTTGTCTTGTCAAGAGCTGTTAGACCAGCATTTGTCTAGTGCCTTTGTGTCTATAAAAAAAAAGTTGGTTTGGAATGAAATGGTATTTTTTAATATTGCTTTTGGTTTGTGTTGATTTCATTGGTGAGATATCCCAAAATATTGAAGCATAATGGCACGAATTCAAGACTATGCTCCAGAATAATTTTCAGCACTCTTTTAATATGGTTTCTCTGTCATTTAATGCTCTTTGAGTAATATTTCCCTCTCCCTGCTGTCACGTTAGAGGCAGGTTAGAGAGACTCTAACCACTTTGCCTGGTTAGAGTGCTTTGCAGGAATTGCTGTGAAATGGTACAAAACAACACTTCAAAAAGATAAAGAGGTGCTTGGAAGGGAGGAAAAACTGGCAGTTTGTCTTTAGAAAGCAAGTCAGTGTGAGCAAAGGGAACTTTTTGATTCATGAAGAACGTGGAGGATGGTTGCCGTCTGCTTTTTAGTATCGCTCTTTTCCTCACTAGTCTTACAAAGAAATTAGCACAGATGTCTGCTGTGTTGGACCTCAGGGAGTACACAGGGTGTGAGAGATGGGTGTGAGCTGCCTTTTTCATGTATTACTCTTCACTAACATGCTGGATCTGAGGCTGAGAGCGAAGGAGCATTTCCCGTGTGATGCCATTGGTGCCCCCGGGAGCTCAGAAAAGCACGGGATGTGCTTGGCATCTCCCGACCGGAGCGTTTTTCACATGAGAAGGGGCCATATGGTCTCTTGGCGTCTCTAACCGTTGCTCACAGTTAATTACCTGCTTTTGTTTCCATCTCTGCTGTCACGTTGGGGATTGAGTGTTATTGCTTTATAACAATGTGGGCTATTGCTTGGGAAGAGGCACTTGTGCTGTCATGAAGATATTCCAATTTAAGCAGCTGTTCAGGGGCTCATAGTAGTAAAATGAAGGAAACGTGTGTTTACCTTGCATTTACACCTAGGTGTAAAAAATGCCTGAGATCAAACACACTTTCTTGTGGTCTTCCTTTGTTGCTGAGTTTCATCATGTGCCATGGATATGCAGACACTTCCCTTGAAACCATCAGATTTGCAAACCAGAGCAAATTGTGCAAGTATGCAGATTCCAGGGGTTTGCATCTATTGCAAGAGCAGTTTTTTCTCCACTGTCCTCAAATGTACGCACGCTGCTTCTCCCTTAGATCATACTTCCTGGCTGAAGTGCTGAGTAGACAGTGACTAAGTGTGATATTGTCTCCCTTCCAGTTAGGACCCAGATGGAAAGAATAGTTGGGACTATAATTCTTTTTAAATAACCCAAACTGGTTTTCATTTTGTTATGGGTTTGGTTTGTGTTTTTTTTTTTTTTTTTTTCCGTAATTTATCATATCTGTCCTGCAATCTACTTCGGTGTCTTGGCAGAGAAAAAGCAAAAGCTATCGTTTTTGAAAAATGGCATCTTCATGGGCTTCTGGAGGGTGTCATTAATTTGTTTTGACTTGACGATTGCCATGCAAACTGAGGCAAAGATCCCTGGCAGATTACGTGCTGAACGTCAGCAGAGCAGCAGCATCCAAGTCCGCAGCACAGGACTTAATTAAGCACTCAGAATTTGTAACCACCCAGGTGATTATCTTTAAAAAACCAAAACCAAAACCCAAACCACAACACAAAAAAGCAAACCAAACCAATCAAACAAAACCCCAAACTTCTTGAAACCTGGCTCACTAAGCCAGGCATGTTTGGGCTCTCGTATTTAAACCGATCTTGCATGTGCTGCCGGCTTTTGTCTCTTCCCTGTTGTAGTTTCAACCTGTGGAGAGACTGTGTGAGCATAAACAGACCGACACTGACCGCTCTATTGAGGAGGATACTGCAAATGGACATTTACACTGAGCCAAACATGCAGCAAGAGTCTCCGGGCTGAAACACAGAGCTTTTTCCTTCTCTCTAGGAGATCAATGACTTTGAAACTACTGTATGTTTAAGATGGAGGATGACAGCATGGAAAGAGCAAGCTGTCAGCAAGGTGCTGCAAGTTTGGTGTGGTGACAATGATGTGTGGTAGGAAACATAGCAAGTACATGCGCGGTGCTCCAGGAAGTGTATGTAGGGAACACATTATGTGTGAGGTAATGGTGATAAAGCGTTTTGGCTAGCATATGCATCTGTCTTCGGCCCTTATGAGGTAAGAGAGACCATACTGTGTGAGTTAGTGACAAAATGTCTGAGTAGGGTAAAATGAGCTGGGCAGGAGTCTGTCAGAGAGCAGCAGAGAGGCTCTGTATGTTTGAGGCTGGCGGGGAGGAGTATGACTTCATCCAGTGGGTCTAAATATACTTCATAAATCATAGTGTGTGGCACAGTTACTGCTTATGCTTCTGATCACAGATAAGACTCGCTTCATGCTCTTGGCAAATCTCAGACTACCCTTTTCTCGTTACAAAATCATACCACTCCCTTAGCTTTTCCTGATTGTGTTTTTGCAAAAGTTGTGGCTGGCATATGTTGTTGAATCTAGATGGGTCTCATGTCTTCTGTGAAAGGAGAGATGGGGTTCAGGCAATGTCATTTTGCACCATTCTCAGACTATCAAAACGTGTTTTCATAGATCTGTTAGCAAATGGTGAATGTTGGAAGAGCTTGACCTCTCTGTAGGGATACGGTAGCAGTAAGTGGGGTGCATTTGTCATTTAAAAAAAAAAGTGCTTTCATTAGGAGAGGAAAGCACTGCATATTTGCACTGTGATGTGATTAGGATTGTGTCATTTTCCTTGCGAGGAAGAAAAATAGCACCCTGCAAATCCCAGTCTACGCTTAGAAAAAGATCTTCCCACAACTTGTCTGGAGGTGAGGACAGGAAGTAGAGCTCTGTTTGTTCATGGAGCAGAGAGCATTTATGATGATTTTTGATCATCTGAATCCAATTTACATTTCCCATCTTTTAAAATCCCAGTGGAAAGTGCTCTGATTGCATCCACTCTCTTCAGCCTCTTCCAGGAACTTTGCCACCAACAGAGTCACTGAAAGAGCGCTCTTGTTCTTGCTGTGCAGGCAGTAAGTCAACCCTCCTACCTTAAAATACTACTTTCTTTTCTAGTAATTCCTTTCTAGTTGATCTGGTGAAATGCATTTGAAGGCCAAAGGAAAGTGTGTTAGGAGAGAGGGATGGGTATGTTTTGTAAGGAGTCTCTCCTCTGAAAAATAAATATTATGATAGATCTGAATACTCTGTTTCTTTGGTCGGCTCTTTGGATTAGTGCTTGCAAGTGTACTTTGGACTTTTACCTAAATTCTGTAATCATTCCAGACAAAGTCTTTATTGGTAATGGCTGGTATCTGTTTCTAATAATTTTTTTTTTTTGTTCTAGATTCAGATGAAACTTGGTTTTATAGCAAGGAAGCACTAAAGAACTGGCACAGGGGTTCTTGCTAAAAGCCAAAAGTTAAGGTAGGAAGGGAAAAAAACATCCTCCCTGCTGATGCTGTGTAGGATCTGCAAAATGTCTGCACCTTTCCTATCATTAAAAGAGAAAATTAGACATCTTTGAGGGGGGAGGACGTGTCTCCTTCCCCTCTCTGTCCCCCAGTGTGGATGTGACTAGGCAACCTACTACAGGGAACTATTTTTATTGCTCTTTCTCATCTTGCAATGGACAGCTCTGGTGGAGCGGGAAGCCTGGGGAGGCTCTGTTCCTGTCTCTCCCATTGTAGCGCAGCTAAAGCTCTCTGCTCTTCAGACTAGCTCTGAAAAAGGGTATACAGGTAGTTCAGCTGCTATGTCACTTAACCCCCGTTTTTCCAGTGGCAAAGTGTTATTCACAAGCATCTTGTACAGTAACCCTGTTTTGAAATGAAAAACCACACGCAAGGACTGAGCTGTTTCCACAGCTGTTTATCAGAGGAAAGCAGATAACTTGTTGCTATCTGTATTGAGTGCTCTACCAGGAGAGCTTAATGTGTTGGGTTTTTTTTACATTTTGTCGGTGTTTGTACAAAGCCTTGTTTTATCCTGCTGATTAATAATTTAAAAAAAAAAAAAAAAAAAAGTGCCCTGATGGTACCTTCAGGATTGCTCTGTGAAGTCTGGTTGCTTCTGTGAGAAACAAAAATTGCCAAAAGACAAACCTCAACATCTCTAATTTCAAGTAATCTAGATTTCTGAGAGAGGGGAGTTAGCCTGTTTGTCTTGCTCAGGTTTTAAGTGAGGGGCACATGTTTTTCTGGTGATAAATTGCAGCTACCTTTCATGTTGGTGAGCCTGCTGAAAATGCAGCTGCTGTGAGCTAGAAATTTGACACTTCAAAATCTCTGGTCTGCTTTGCTTCATGTAGGCCGGAGACTCGAGGATGTTGTGTTGTCTCTTCCTGACACAAAAGGTCAGTCTTACTGTGAAAGTGGTTAGCATCACCACCAGACGCATCCAGAGGTTTCACAGTGTGCTTTTTCATGGGGAGGATTATTTGAGTGGGTTAATGGCAGCAGCCTTCAACAGCATCACTGTGTTTCTTTGCTGCTGCTGTGTGGTACTTCCAGCTGCTCTCAGGTCCAGAACAAAAAGTTGAAACTTCAGTGATCCTCTCAATTTCCCTAACCTCTCCCTTTTCCCTTCTCTTAGATCTCCTTCCACCAGGAGTCTGCAATCTCCTCAACCCAGCCGCTATTTATGCTAACAACGAGATCAGCCTGGGAGATGTTGAGATATACGGCTTTGACTACGATTACACATTAGCACAGTATTCTAATTTGCTACACTCTATGATTTTCAACACTGCCAGAGACATCCTAATAGAACAATTCAAGGTAATGATGTGCTAAGAATTTCCGCTCGATTAGGCTTACTGCTGTCTTGGTGACACCCCATGCAAGAGGTGCTTGCGTGTGCACGCGTGTCAATTACTTGTTTTATTGAGATAAATTTCATGTTTCACAATCTTTGATTGCAGAAAGTTTGTCTGTATGTGGAATTAATTTCCTTTGAGACAATTTACCGTGCTCTGCATTCCCGAGGTTTTATAATATGGAGCAGGAACCTTAGTCTAGAAAGGTCTGGTCTGTTTTACCTATGGAAATAATGCCTACAGAATTGCTGGTTTGAGGTACAGGTGGTGGATAAACATGAACTCTGGGCCAATACTGAAGCTGTACAGGACTTGACACGTGCAAGTCAATGTGGCTGATGCTCCTTAGCATGTCCAATAATGAACGATCTGTTTGCAATAGGCAACTGGTCTGTGCGTTTCCTTCTCGTCACACCTTGCTCTTTAGAGGGGCTCTGCCGTGCCACTGCTTTGCCCAATATATGCATTGAATGGAGCTTACTAGAAGTGTCCTTACTACCTGAGTGAATCCGTTACTTTTTCACTAGTGTCCCTTACAAGAGAGAAACTATTTTAGAGGGATCCTGATCCTTTATGTCTTTCTCCATTCATCTGCGTGCTTTGTTGAAGGGGCAAAATGAAGTGCACCTGTTCCTTGGTCAGTTTGTGCCTGGGGTGAGACATCTAGTAGACTAAGCCAGCTCAACAGGTGAAATAATTTTGTTGATAACCCAATGTTTATGCCTCTAACGACCTTGCTGTCTGTCTTCCCAGTATCCAGAAGGGCTTGGGAAGTATGACTACATTCCAGGGTTTGCCATACGTGGACTTCACTATGATGTACAAAAGGTAAGCTGTACAAAGTTCAGTCTCCTGGGCTTTGTCTTCCATTGCATTACGTTTCTAGTGGAAATACCTTCTGTCATTGCTTACAATAACATCGATCACCAAACTATCAGTGAAATACATAGTCCAGGTGGCTGTGCTTTTCATTGTGTGGGTTCTTGTTTATAAACCTTCCAAAGGAAAGATGTGTTTTGTGTTTGCATAGCCTCTAGCAGAATGGGACATTCTAGCAAAGACCTTTGGTAAACATCCTTGCCAATTTAAAAGTCAGTTAATTCCACAAGCTAATTAATAGAAAACTCAGCTTGTTTGTGTGATCATTTCTGTCTTTCAGGAAATTTAAACAACAAACTTCAATCCTGCATCTACAAGTACTTGCCAGGAGCAGAAGCATTATGTCTTCCTCTAATAATAGAAATGACTTGTCAGGAGAATGCTTTAGGAAGCCTTCCCCACCCCCCACCCCGAATAATAGGACTGCCTGGAAAAAGATCCAAGCTACTTGAGATGCATGCTTCTTAGGAGCACAGGCAAGCAAAGTGCAAGCATTAGCTTTAACCCTTTTCAGTACTTTGGACCGATTCCCCGAAAGCCTGATGCCCAGTGATGTAATGCTGGCTGCTGCAGCCAGGCAGTCGGGTGGGAGCACAGCAGAGAGAGTTGCTTCACTGTAGTAACTTTTCTTGTGTTGAGCTTTGAGCAAATTCAGGGAAGCAGGCAGTACAGGCTGGAGTGTGGGTGCTGTTCTCCAGCCATGGGGGGAAAAAAAAAAGAATGAAGAAAAAAAACTAGATAGAGTTTTCCTGCTTTTTTTGTCCTAACTGAGGTGACAGCGTGACAGCAGACTGCTCATGCCTCTGGCTTCACAAAGTAAGAAGTAGATCTGTGAGAAACTGAAGTTTCTTTCTGTGTTTAAATCTCTGGCTGGTATATCAGAGGAACACAGAGGTGACTAGCCTAGCCAAGCAAAGTGCCCTGTGAGTGAGTAAGTGGTGAGAACTCTCTTTTTTCAGGATCAGTTTGCAAAACACACAAAAAATTGGGTAGTGCCTGTCCAAGTAAATCTTCAGCATGTTTGCCTGCACTCCTCACAAACTAGTGGGAGGTCTGCCCACGGTGTAACAAGCTGCACTGATATGATAAAAGAAGGTGCCTGAAGGTTTTGAATGCTCTGTGGAATCAGTTACCTTGTGCCGTGGTAGAAACAGGACTAATAGTTTGATGCTGTGTCCTTACTCGAGTTGCAGAGCGATGTGGGTTTAGTGTGAGGCTGCTTTCCATGCCCTGAGAACTTGTGTTATGGCTTCAGAATGATGGATGGAAGAGAAGGGATGACTTGGAATAGAGGAGTCTGTTACAAAAAAATGCAAAGAAAGCTCTAATGTTACCAGGCTGGTGTGCTCATGAACATCTTTGCCTGAATGACTATTGGGGAGAGGGAGAAGTGATGGAGGGGAGAGCTCTTGGATAAAGAAAATGACTGGGGGCAGCTGCTCTCTAAACCAAAACTTGCCCACTTAGTTCTGCTTAAGATAAATGTGACAAGAAATAGATCTCTTGTGCACACTAAGCTTCTTTGGAATGTGGTGCTTTTGGAAGGGAGATAAAAAGAGACTGTCTGAGTCACAGAAACATTGTTCTCTCCATTTTTCAACTGCATCCCTGTCCACAAACTTTGGAGTGTAGCAGACTGGTATTTCGGCTCATGGAAAGATGGTCTTTTGTCAGAGAGGCCAATAAAAAGCCATAGTATGTAGGAAGCATGTGCAAAAGTGGCTGGGGAGTAAGTGCAGCTTAAAGTACACAGATGTGGGGTGTTTATATTGAATTTTATTTTCTAAATGTCATTTATGTGGAACTTTAAACTTCAATAAGGTTTCAATGTAAACCTATGCAATTCTAACAGTAAATATCTATCCCTTATCACAGAGTCTTCTGATGAAGATTGATGCTTTCCATTATGTCCAGCTGGGGACGGCATATAGGTCTGTCAGTTCTGAAAATCATTTTCTAAATGCCCATATATGCAAAGGTGGATTAATAAATCTGAGTGTGCGTTCATGGCAAACGGTTTTGTTTTTTTTTTTCTGAGCAGTGCACAGTCTTCTCTGGCTTATCCTGTTTGCACTTGCTTCTAATGCTTACCTGGCATGTAATTGCAGAGAGTTATTTTTCTCAAGTGTTTCAAGCCAAGTGTGGGTGGGAAGACCTGGAGCTTTTTGTAATGGTTAATGACACATCTGGTCACATACTCTGCATGTTGTCTGAGTTGCAGCTACAGTATATCTGGGTTAACATCTTTGAGCAAACAGTGCAACTAGGAAAGGACCCCTCTGTATATGGTGCACATAGAGGCCTGTCTTCTCCAGGCAGGAGTGTGTCCTGGCAGTGATGTGCTGTGCCTTGTCACAAAGCGAAGAGGAGAGTGGTCTGGATGTGCAAATAAAATCTTGAGTGGTGCAGACATGTTAATAAAGTAATGATGCCTCAGAATCTGGGCTCCATTTAAGGCCTAGTTTATCCTGTTTTTCCTTCTTTTCCATTCTTCTCCAAGGAGAGCTGGGTGTGCTTTGGAGTAAATGGCTGAAAGAGCACAGAACAAACTTTTCTCAAAAAAGTTGTGAGACTGGAGACTGGGAGAAAACCTTGCCCCAAAGCGGAGTGGGGTTGGTGTCTTAAGAAGTAGCAATTCATAGATATTAGTAGCAAAGCTCCTATAAATCTGTGTTGTATTTCCTGAGCATGGAAGCCAATGTTTTTTTTTCTTGAACTCTGCCCTTTTGCTGTTAAGCTTCAGTTACAGTAAACACTCTAAGAATATTAAAAAGGGAGTTTCATAATCAGACAGAATTGGCCTCTTTGAATGCTAGCTTTTAGGGAGGTGGGAAGGAGGGGTAGGTACTGCCCCATATTTCACTCCAGCTTCATAAAGAGATTTTTAGCTAAAATTCATTTAAACTTTTTTCCCCTATTATCTGTAACTATGCTTCTTGAAGTGTCCTTTTCCTAAACTGTCCTTTGCTTTTGAGCACAACTGAGGCAGCTTTTAACTTCTCAGAGGCTGTACCAGGATTGAACAGGAAAGGAGAAAGGGAAAGTTGATGACTGCTTGAGTAAACAGCCATCAAAAATTGTGCAAGAGGCAATACTTGCAGCAGTCAGATAACCTCATGTTCACGAATGGTACAAGCTTATAGCCATACAGGTTTTTTGGGGGAAAAACAGCGATCTCTGTTGAATGGTCTTAGCAAAGAACTTGTTTTGCTTAGGAAGACTGAATAGGAAGGAAATCTCAATTTCAGAAAGCTCTTTTCCTGCACCTTTGCATTTAACGGTGGATATACCTCGTGGAAGCAACTTCTCCAAAACCTACTGTTACCCAGTACTGCCAAAGTCAGGTCGTGGGGCCAATTTGGTGGGGGAGTCCCGTCAGCAGACAGCAGAGAGAAGCCACTGTCCAAACTCTGTTGGAATGTGGATAAAACCCCTCAATTAACTTGAAGGAGCAGACAAGGTAGCTGAAAAATATCTTGGGGAAAGATTTTATGTGAATCTTAAGAAACCACAGAGCTCTCAGGCTCTCTGGCTATTTCTTTTGTGCAAGAACAATTCGTGAGTTTTAGAAAAGAGCCTGTTTGTCCCATCTTTTTCTCTGCAGTTTGTCGCTCTGTGCAGTCTGATGATTATTGACAAACCTATTTCTGTTGGTTTATGTCTAGAGGGCTCAAACCAGTGCCTGATGAAGAGGTAATCGAACTCTATGGTGGTACGCAGCACATCCCCCTGTACCAGATGAGTGACTTCTATGGCAAGGTATTGTAAACCCTTCACTACGATGATGCTGCAGCTCTTTTAACAGCTAGGAAAAAAGAGTGAATTGTATGAGGATGTAAATGACTCCATCCTCCCTTAGACTCCAAAAGGCTCTGTCCCTAGTGAGCTGCTGTGTGTGTTTTTGTTCTAGTGGGAATTTGCCCCAGAGGTTATTTAGCAGTTTAGCATGTGAAAGCTATCTGCGAAGCATTCCTAAACACCAGGGCTGAAGCATTCCTAAACACCAGGGCTATTGGCCTAGAGCTGAATGGCTCTGGAGACTGATAGGAAGATGTTCTCTGCTTGTTCCTAGGCCAAATCTAGCTCCTAAGCCACCAGGGCAGCCTGCTGTGATGGTATTCGCAGTGAGTTGTGTGGGAGGGGGTATGTGTTTGTAGCAGCAGGGTGCTTGCAACGCCTTTCTCTCTTTTGTTTTGGGTAGGAGTTTTTTTCCTTCGTGAAAGGGATCCCCCTCCACGCCTCTTCAGACCTGCTCAGTGTATATAATTCATAGGGTTGGCATCCATGAGTGTTGGGGGTGTGTTTGTTGGTTTTTTTTAGGCAGAAAACTTAGTGTCACAGTAAGGGACTGAAATTCTGTCTGTAGGAGCTGTAGTTCCCTGAACTAGAGGAAGTTAGGAGACATTTTTCTTCCTCTGGTGTCTAGTGTGGTGCAGTGGGCAAGCGGGCCATTCACATCCCTTTCCCCCCAGAACTGTTTTGTTTCTTGCCCTTTGTTAGTTCAGATGCCTTAGGGGAAGCTGGAAGGAGAAGGGCAGGCTTCCTCTCCTGATACCCCTTTGAGTCCGCTCTGTGAAGTCTCCAGCAAGGTCACTTTTTGATTTCTCTCTGTCTCTTGGGAACAATTAATATGAGTGGTTGCTCTCTGGAGAAGTATATACTCTGTTTATAGCTCAATGTTGTTTCCAGCTTTATAATAGGATGTTTCTGTTTAAAATTTGATATCTGTCTGTAAACTGCACTTGATTAGCCTCCCACTGTGCAACTCTCATCTCTCCTGGCAAACTTGAGATTATTTCACCTTTCTTTTTAAATAATTGTAAACATTAAATTTGCTTTGAGTTGTGGCCTTTTGTAGGACCAGGTGCTCGTGCCAAGGTGCCTTTCTGTGCTGCTTTGTACATACCAGGTGTTTTCTTCATTCCTGTAGTTAGTACTGAAAATTTTTGTATAACATTTGGACACAGAAGTAGGGATAGCAGCTTACTCTTTGCAAAGAGGTGAATCTCTTCTAATAATGTAATGAACTCCAGAAGCTAATAGGTGGATCCCAAAGAGAACAAAAGTATATGCAGCTAAGGACATTTGCATCCAGCAATGTCTGATCAACCTGTGCCACTAATACGTTAGTGGGAAAGCATCTGGCCTAAGATGACTGCTGGTGTGAGCAGGTTCAGTGCAATTGGTGTGGAGTGAGGCTTTAGCAGGATCTTTGGTCTTGTCCTCCTTAATCTGCTGTGCTGATTTTGCTATCTGTATTGGTAAAGGGAAGGTCTGCCAGGTCAGTGATTCCAGGCAACAAGGCATAAGACAAGTGGGACTGATATAGCTGAAGTGTGTAAATATTCTCCCTTAAGGGTTTTCTTGATCCTCGGTTGGCAGATATCTACTGGCATCCCAACACCTGCAGTAGGTAGGCACAGATCTTGTGCAGGATTAGACAATGCAGCTAGTGTGGCTTTCACTGGCAGAACTAGTGATGGCCTGTAAGGAAAGTGGAGGACTCGTGGCTGTTGTGGAAAAAGCATATGTGGCATTCTAAAACTATCATCCAGTTTTCATCCTGACTTGTGTCACCACTGAATCATAGAATCGTGTAATCATAGAATTGCTGAGGTTGGAAGAGACCTTTAAGATCATCAAGTCCAACCATCAACCTACCCTGACAAAACCACCTCTAAATCATGTCCCTAAGCACCACATCTACCCTTTTTTTAAGCACCTCCATGGATGGCGAATCCACCACCTCCCTGGGCAGCCTATTCCAATGTCTAATAACCCTTTTAGTGAAAAAATGTTTCCTAATATCCAATCTAAATCTCCCCTGACATAACTTGAATCCATTTCCTCATGTCCTATCACTTTTCACCAGGGAGAAGAGGTCAGCCCCCACCTCTCTACAACCTCCTTTCAGCTAGTTGTAGAGAGTGATAAGGTTTCCCCTCAGCCTCCTCTTCTCCAGGCTAACGTCTGCTGTAAGAAAGTCAAGGCCACTATAAAAAACAGGGGGAGGCTGTACTTGCCTGGTAGGATAATGACGCAAGGCACAAAAATTAAATCAGAGTTGACAAAGTAAATCTTTGCTGTTAGCATTGAACGTTTAACTGTCTCCTCTATGCTTAAGGTCTTGAAAAGTGGGACAGGTCATTGCTCTGCTGCGCTCTGCTAAATCCCATACTTAGTGGTTTCAGTAGGAACTTCCTGACAGCGTCCCTCTTGCTTCTTTCCCAGAGTCCCTGAACGGGAAAAAAAGGTAGAGGCTCTTTTCAGGAAATTTTAGTTTTGCTAGTGGGAGAAATGTTCCCCTAGCAACCACACATCAAAATGGACAAAAGTCTGTTGAAAGGATTCAGCGAGTATCGCTAAGCAGCACCACTGTGTGTGGTATGTGGCCCAAACCAGAGGGTGTCCTTTGTCTTCTCTTCCGCTGTAGGTCAAGTTGTCCTCTGCTGGATGGATGGAAATTGTATAACCCTCAGCACACCGACATAGCTTTCACTTGCAGCATTTTTTGGTAATAGACCTCAGGCAAAATGCTGTTTGTTATTCCTTTGCCCTTTTTGCATCATCTTTCTTGACCTTAGTTTGTGTTGCCCCAATATTGCCTTTAGATAGTGCTGCAAAGAGTGCTAGTCTCTTGTTCTGCCCTTACAACCAGACTAAATGGGAGATGTTACTGTTGTTACATCCTGACGCAACAGGGGCACGTGTTTGCCAGCATGTGGCCTCTGTCAGTGTCCACCATGTGTATCTTCTGTGATCTTTTAGATGCTGCTTTCATGTCTATCTTTCACATAGCTAAAATAAGTGCCTTCTGATGTGGACCCGTATTACCCCAGAGAGTTGCCACTTTATGGCTGTCAGTCATGCATTGCTCAAAGCTCACATGCACAGGCGTGATGTGACTGGATTACCAGGGCACCTCTGGTGACCGGGTTCATTGAGAGGTCTGTGCACTTCCCAAATTGCTTTTCATATACAAGGCCTTAGTAACTGTCCTGTTGGCCAATCTGCCCCTTTAGCGATGAAAGATGAAAAAATTGATTCCAGCTTCAGCTTGCCAGTGAGACTCACCATAGTCCTCTGCACAGGTGGTACGTACTGAATAAACAAGCTTTATTTTACTAGAAGGCCTGACTGGAGCCAAAGTTGGCTGTTGACCTGCTGATAGGTTTGTGATTGATAGGCAATAAAAATAGCAAATGTATGGCAGGGCTGCAACCTTGCCTAATGCAAGGTTGGGGTTTAATTGTCCACTTCGCCTTGACTGCTGGGTGGGCTGAAGTTCTTTTTCTTCTTCTTTGTGCCCACTCCAGGTTTCCCGTAGTGACTCAGGGGCAGACAGGCTTTGGCAAACGGCTTGTTGGAATGGTTTTTGCATTGCTGTGTGAAACCTCACTAGAACGTGGCTAGAGCAGCTTTGGTGCCCATGTGTCCAATGCCATAGAGTGGTGTTGACGAGCAATGGGGCACCTCCAGCAAGGGCCATACCTGCTTCTGTCACACAGCATTGTCTATTGGCACCCGTGGTAATGCCAAGAGACCAGGTGGGAAGCAGAGGGCATGGGGTTGAAATACAAATTAGTGTCTAGGACTGATTCCCTGCTTCCTCCACCTTCACCCCATGTTGTTAATGATGCTGGGTTTGTTTAATAATTTCTGTGAAGGAGAAGCCTCTCTCTTGTCAAGTGTTAATGCCTTAGGTTAGTGTTTTGGTTGAGAATAGAGGGCTACTTGCTGAGTGGCTGGGACTTTCCGCATTAGTGTTTTTCTTTTTGTTAGCCTGGAATGTCTTCCAGATGGTACTGGGTGATACAAGTTTGTTTGTTGGCTTTGCTTTTTTTTTTTTTTTGGTAAAAAAAGGTTTGTTTTTTTTGTTTAATATATCTCCTTCATTTTTTGCTTTCCAGGGTCCATCACTTAAGCAGTTTATGGACATTTTTTCTCTTCCTGAGATGACACTTCTCTCTTCAGTCATTGATTACTTCATAACTCATGGCATTGAGTTTGACCAGGTGCATCTTTACAAGGATATATCTGTAAGTAAAATGTTGACTGCCTCATAGCTCATACCACATCAGAATAGTGAGCTCCTTGGCTCATTAGCACTGGTGAGCTCTGCAATACCCAAAACGAAGGGGCTCTTAGTGAGTAGCCTAATATGATGGCATTGTTGCCCCTTTAGATTAAAGCATTACCAGGGAATATTCAAAGCTGTGTTTTCAGAACATGATAGGTTTCTATCTGGACTACAGAGTTGGTGTTGCTGTACATTATCTCTTGCAAGAGTGTCTAGGCTGGTTAGGTTGAAGGTCCTCCTGTGGGAAATATATCACAAAGCTTGAGTAAATATTTTCTGGTTCTGCAGACTTCTGTTTTCTGCACTTTTCTGTTTTCCTGTTAATATCTCATTTTTTCAAAGAAATTTGGTTTATTTCAAAGAGTTCGGTTTATACAGCAGTTGTTGTGAAACACTTGCCCTTGCCTGCTCTGCGAATCTACCCCTACCCTTTGCAGCTACAGAGCAGTCTGGTCCTTTAGGGGTGTTTCTAGTGGGTGACTGTAGCTTTGTTAGGAGGGGTACTGTTTGACTTCCTAGTTAATGCTGTGGGCAAGATGCAAGTGCTTGAGATTGCTGCCCTGGGTGTCTCCTGGTGACAGATGATGCATCTTCCTTGGTAGCCAAGCCTTATTGCATGCCTTTTCCCATGGAGAGGGGTTTTTGATTTGTGCCTTGTGGGAATCTCATGCTCATCCACTGGTAGCAGCCCATACATACACTGTTCAGGCTTGTTGTGAGAGAAGTGGAGCTCCACATCTGTGCTGCTTTTTTTGTGATAAGGATCTACCCTGACAACTTTGCTGCAGCCCAGGATTACAGCTTACGTTCTGACCTTCTGTTAGTGCTTGATAAGAGCGTGTCAGTCAGTTTCCCATGAGACCTTAACATGTTTCTAGGGTGTTAGTTGTTGTAGTCGTTTTTGCTCTTGGGGTGGGGAAAACAGGAAGAGGAGATGCAGCTGAGGCCTTTTTGACAAGAGTATCTTCTGAACATTCTTTTGAGGTCAAAATGGACGTGTACCTAATTGAAATCTTGAGAGCAGGTGGGTAGTTGCCTCAGCCTAATACATACTCAATACAAGGCAAAAGGTGTGCTTAAGGCCCAAAACTCCTGAGTGCTAATCCTGGCATTTGTCTTTGCATCTTTTGTTGAGGGATGTGGTCATTCCTGAGGGGTGACTGAGGTAGGCAGAGAAGAGAACTCCAACAGAAAATCTATGCCAATGTCTGAAATCTATAGTGAAAAGTTGGGGACTGTCCTGTGCTCTCACCAGCAGAGTCCTTGATTTTTTTCTGTACAATGAGGATAAACAAACATTTTTGCAAAACTTATCCCTTTGCGATACCTGAGTGCAAGCGCAAAGAAATGGTTTACGGACATGAGCAGAGATCCTTCGGTGCCTCGGACAGGCGTCTAAAAGGACTTGCACTGCCCCAACTGTTATTACAATGCAGGCTCACAGTGGGTTAAGACATGCCTAAACCTGACACTCTTCTGTAATTCTTAGTGGTAAACCTGATCACAGCTCTGTGTGTCTGGGAGCACGTTTAGCTAGAGACACTGCACTGAGTCAAAAGGGCAGACCCTGAGGCAGTGGTAAAGGTTGAAGCTGACATGTAAACCAAGAAGTCCTGTCACACCAGTTTGGTTGCTTTGTATTTGAGAGTAAGAACTTACAATTTACCTTGATTTCCTTTGGAGAAGTTTTTGAGCCCTGTTTGACACCTCCCCAGGCTGCCAAGATTTTACCTGTAAGAACTTTGTAGTTCTTCCCTGC